TTTGCCAACAAAGGTCCATCTAGTCAAAGCTGTGGTTTTTCCAGTAGTCATGTATGGATGTGAGAGTGGATGAGATGGTTGGATGGCATCACCGACTCAATGGACATGAGTTTGGGTGGACTCTGGGAGCTGGTGATGGACAGGGAGGCTTGGTGTGCTGCAGTTCATGGGGTCACAAAGAGTCGGACATGACTGAGCGACTGAGCTGAACTGACTGAACTTTTTAGAGGATCGCCTATTCCTCATGAAAAACTAAAACGAGCCTTCTGGGTCCACAAAGATGCTATTTTCAGACTTAAAAAAAAAACACATGATCTACAGTATTTAATTAACTAGTTTGTTGTTTTTGTATTCCAAACCAGTATTCAAGTATCCTGAAAAGTTTAGGTATTTCCCATTATCTAACAGTTTGGCCACCTGATGGCAAAGAGCCCACTCACTGGAAAAGACCCTGATGCTGGGAAAGATTGAGGGCAAAAGAAGGGGGCGACAGAGAATGAGATAGCTGGAGTACATCACCAAGCATCACCAACTCAATGGACATGAGTTTGAGCTAACTCTGGGAGATGGTGAAGGACAGGGAAGCCTGGCGTGCTGCAGTCCATGGGGTCACAAAGAGTCAGACACGACGGAGTGAATGAACTGACTGAACTGACTGACTGACGTATAAGTGTATATGTGGAAGGCTGCAGACATCAATACTATGAAGAGGGAAGTTCCTATCTATCTAGGTCCTAGTTCTTTCAACAGTAAAAAAAAAAAAAAAAACCAGCTAATATTTATTGATGACTTTCTAGTGTTAGGAACCATGCATGATACAGTTGCATACTCTGTGGGTCTCCTTATTCATGGATCCCTTATTTGCAGAAGTACTTACTTGCTGGAATGTATTAAGAACCACAAAGTCAATAGGCACGCATTGCCTTTCCAGAGTCCTTCACAGAACCGAGCAGAGCAGTGATATCTTTAAGGATCTCAGTGTCTCTGTGTTCCCAGTTGAGAGAGAAGGCAACAGATCTCCATCTTCCTGCTTCAGCCTTCATAGTACAAATGGTTCCGTTTGCAGTGCATGTGTTATGTTTTCTTTCTGGTGATTTTTCTGTTTAAAATGCTTCCGACTACAGTGCTGACATACACTCTGGTGTCTTAAGCCCAAGAAGGCTGTGATGCATTACCTGGAGAAAATACATGTGTGAGATGAGATTCCTTCAGCCNTTTTCTGTTTAAAATGCTTCCGAGTACAGTGCTGACATACACTCTGGTGTCTTAAGCCCAAGAAGGCTGTGATGCATTACCTGGAGAAAATACATGTGTGAGATGAGATTCCTTCAGCCTTCAGTTATGCTGCTGTTGGTTGTGAGTTCGTTGTGAATGAACCAACAATATGTATTGAATAAGGTGTCTTTAAACAGAAACACATAAAACCAAGCTATGTGTTGATCAGTTGGTGCCCATGTTGTGAACGTGTCACCCTGTGTTTTGCTCTGGAACCATGAGTCAGTAGTCACTATCTCAGCATTCACGGCAATTTTATCAGACATAACGATGGCGAATAATGGGAATGGAGTGTATCGTTTTATGTGCAAGGTGAGCCATGAGACATCTACTGTGCTTATTTTATTTTTAGTAATATTCTCATTTTATTTTATTAAATATTGATTTATCTGGCTTTGCCAGATCTTAGTTGTGGCATGTGAACTCTTAGTTGCGATGTGTGGGAATTAGTTCCCAGACCAGGGATTGAACCTGGGCCCCCTGCATTTGGGAGGGCAGAATCTTAGCCACAGAACCACCAGGGAAGTCCTTGTCCTAATTTTATAGATGAGGAAACCGAGGCTTAGAGAGATCAAGGAAATTGCCTGTCATAAGTGGCACAGTCTGGATTCGTAAATATATCCCTTTGATGAAATGTTTGCTGCAAATATATTCTCTGACCGTCAATGAATTCTTTAAGGAAGATCACAGGTGTTTAGGAAATAGATGTCCTCTGCCAATGGGATTTTTTTCCCATTGTGTGAACTGGGCTGGAAAAGATCGAGGGCAGGAGGAGAAGGGGGCGACTGAGGATGAGAGGTTGAATGACATCACCGACTCAATGGACATGAGTTTGAGCTAACTCTGGGAGATGGTGCAGGACAGGGAAGCCTGGTGTGCTGCAGTCCATGGGGTCACAAAGAGCTGGACATGACTGAGCGACTGAGCTGAACTGAAAGAGAAAAAAAGAAAATGTGAATGGGGCGGGAAGACTCAGTGCAGGTAAATCACCTGACTGTACTTCTGGGATGACATACGGACAGAGAGGGTCAGAGAGGCTCAAACCTGAGTGTACACAGAGATTACCCGAGGACCTTAAAAAAGTGTATAAATCAATTGGCACTGGATATTGTTCCTTACAAATGTTCAACAAAAGATTCTTTGTGTTGCTGTTCTTATAAAAAGAATCCTGAGAGTCTGCAAAACCACAGGGAATGATATTTTTCCCTTCCTCCTGAAACTCTACCTCCTAGTCAGTATCTAAAAAACTTTTTCTTGGTTCCGAGGCATAGGGGATCTTAGCTCCTCACCCAGGATTTGAACTCACACCCTCTGCTTTGTAAAGTGAAATCTTAACCACTGGACTGCAGGGAAGCCCCTGTAGTCTGAATATTGATTGCCTTATTTGTTGGTTAATTTTATGGGTCAACTTGGCTGTGCCATGATGCTCAGATATTAGGTCAAATGTTATCTTGGAAGTTAAGGGGAATTTTTTTTTGAGGGGGTGAGATTTATTTTTATATATGTAATTAATCTATTTGCTGTTTTTACATATGTTTCTCTTTTTTTAAAGAGAAAAAATTTTTTTCCATTTATTTTTATTAGTTGGAGGCTAATTACTTTACAATATTGTAGTGGTTTTTGTCATACATTGACATGAATCAGCCATGGATTTACATGTATTCCCCATCCCGATCCCCCCTCCCACCTCCCTCTC